TTGGACAAATAACTCCAAACTGGTTTTATTTGGTGGAATAGGACAAGACAAGACCTCCAAATAGATAGTGCCCCCCAAACCATACGCTGAAGACAGTAAAACACGGTGGCCTAAAAATCATGGTTTGGGTATACTTTTCATACAAAGTTTTAGGTCCCGTATATATGATCTGTCGGATCAAAGACCATTATGTTTATGTCCAAATATTAAAAACTGTCTTGCAGCCGTATCCTGAGGAAAATATTCCATTAATTTGCGCATTTCAGCAGTACAGTGACCCTAATCATACCAGCAAGGTGGCCAAGGAGTGGGTTCTTAAAGGAAAAGTGGATGCAATGCCATGGCCTGCACAGTCCCCGGATATAAATTCGATCGAAAACTTATGGGGGACATCAAGGGCTACGTATTAGAGAAGTTTCCGACTTCTAAGCCGCATCTTTGGCGATTTGTGCAGGAGGAATGAGACCATAATCCCCTCAAGCGTTGCTAAGACTTGGTGGACTCCTTGCCACCAAGGTATGAGGCTATGATAGCTTCTAAAGGCTATTTAACAAAATATTAGATCATAGTCAATTAGAATTTAAGAAGAAATAGGTTTCTTATGCGATATTTTTAAATTTATGAAGAATTTTAGTTTTTCACTGCTATTTCAATGAACGGCATAATATAGACCTTTTTTGTTGTTATTAGCTATATCTTCTAAAGGGTTTATGTTACCTAAATTAAATGATTGTGGTATTGTTAATAATTAAATATACTAAGCTTTTATGAAAAAAAAATTTATGAAAATAGTGTTTGTAACAGGATTTTCCGATCTTAAACGTGCAGGTCGTTGGGCACTGCTATTTCCGTGAACACAGCTGTACAAGCACTTAAGATAATATATATTTTTAAAAATAAAAAATATTTAAGAGGGCATGATAATTCTATAAATAACTTAATCGGTAACAAGCACTTTTGAAATCTTCCTCTTGACGACAAAAGAAAATGCCTTTAAATCTACCAAGAGGCCAAGCACAAAGGAATAGGAAGTCACAAGTGCTTCGTTGGCAAAAGAAAGAACGTTGAAAAATCTGATACTTAATGCAAATTATATATTTTCCTTATATTATATGTAATCCGCCGAACAGAGGCCCCCCCTTGATATCATTAACAAAAGCACAGAGCAACAAGGGAGATATTGGAAAAATAAATATATGTACACACAAGTGTGATTATACCCTGGGATTTTCCGAAAACAATGTGAATGGAAAAATACTAAGCTAACCCGAAACTGATACTCAAAGTTAAAATAAGCTTACAACGAGACGTCGCTTCAGTTTGAAATATGAATATTGGCTGCAATGTGATAGCTCCAACGACTGATAGGACAACAAAAGAGCAAGGCAAAGAAACGTCAACGTAATTAAGACAAATTAATGTTATTATTAATCTTAGGTTGCAGTTGAGTGTCTAAAAATAGAATGTACACTCACAGTGAATGTGTTTAGCTTTTGGGTCAATTATAACAATAATAATGCAAATATCAGAAATCAGACAGTTTTAATGAGGCTAGAATAATATGAGTGCTTAGTATAATTACATATTTATGAAAGTCTCAGAAAATCTGATAAGTGAAAATAAAAATATTGCTTCTTTATTTAGTATAATTAATAAAAGACTTGACTTTTTATATGAATGTTTTTGAAATATAAGCAGTTTAAAATATAATTAAGGAAAAATTAATAGAAATTAATAATTTTCCTGACAAATTCATTAATTATTTCCGCTTAGCCAATGTCTACAGTACTATGTGACACACATTCAACTATTGAATTAAGAGGCGTTAGGTTTCTTTTCCTAGATACTCATAAACTTTAATTAAGTTGTTAAGATGATTGCATATTTACTTTCGTTTTCATGTTTGTTATTGTTTTCCTTTGTGCCGCTCAAGAGCCGAATGAGGAAGAAGAGACAGAGAGAGAGCGCGCAAAAAAGAGGGTAGTAATTCTTATCACTCTCTTTGCAAATCAGCCTCACGCTACGTAAGAAAACGTAACGCTATGAACCGACGGAACGCGAATGACACACATGAAACGGAAGGGAGAGAGAGAGAGAAAGGAAGCGAGAGCGATATACACACACCGCTATAATATCAACAAGTATGACGAGTTTTAAGTTCCACGTCGGCTGCGCACGCCTTTCAGCCGTTTTTGTGTATTATTCCAATTTCGATATTTATCTTGGACTAATAATCGCCTCACAACGGGGCGTATACTGAATTCACCACGCGGTGAGTTTGATTTTGAGTTCGAGTCCCCGACAACACGTGCCGTTCCAGCTGTTTGTATTTTGGCTTAATCTTTCACGATCGCCGGAACACTTGCTAATGGGGGTGATGAGGGAAGCACTGGAATCACTGGACTATTGCTGGAAAATGTACTAGTGCAAGGTGTTGTGTTTTCCCAACCGCGAACTCTTCAACGGCACACGTCGACGGCTACTGGCGTGGAAAAATAAATTTCAAATTTGAATCGCCCTGCACCCGCTGCTGCTTCTGCTGACGCTAACGTCGACTGCAACGTGGGCTTGGTGGCCAGAGGGTTTAAACAAGGCTAGAAGCTTTAACCCCTAATTAACCATACACATGGGTGTCCACAAGCTAGAAATTATGTTAAATAAAAAGTTTATAGAATTACAATACAAATTTTAAAATATTACAAGATTTGAGGGTAAGGTTTATTTAAATTAAAAACAAAAAGGTTTATAAAAAATACTAAGATGGCTAACAATTAGGATTCATAATAATACATAACAAGTTTCCGTTAAAAGTCATTAAGTCTTTGTACAACAAAATAAAAGAGATTGTCGACTATTTTTACTGAAAGTCTTAACAAAAAATGAGGTAGAATTCAGGTCTTTTTTGCTTCCTAATTAGTTCGATTTGCATATGCAAATAATGTCAAAAGTAAGGGAGATCTTTGGATCTTTTCTCCACTTAAAGTAGCACAAAAGCAAGGCGAATAATACAACTCCCGCTTGACGACAAGACCTAAATCTGTAAACTTTTAACTTTTTCCGCAAAAAGAAAATTAGCCACACCTTTTTATAGTATGTGTGTTTCTTGCACCGTTTGCTTTGCGTTCTCTGTTGATTTCGCCCTCTCTTTTGGACGCTTTCGCTATGTTTGCCGGGAGGGGATTGGGGATGAAGAGGTGGGAAAGCTCGTGGGATAGATAGGCGGCGACAAGCGGCTGACCTTGACATTTATTTTTAGTTGAGAAATATTTAACTTTTTCTCTCGTTTGTTGCGACACCGAAAAAACAGATGTGCCATTATGGATATAGAATAAATAATTACACAAACAAAAAATGGCAACCCAGAGTTTTGTTTATCTAAAAATCAAAGCAAAGCAAAGGATTTTGAAATGTTAAACTTTTTATATATAAAGAACATTACGGAGGTAAACATCGGCTTTTCTTTAACTTAAAAAATGTATTTGATTATCTTTTTAGGTGTACGTATATCAAAAACAGAATATAAAAAGAATAAAGACAAATAAACACCGGTAAATTATCGCTTGCATTACATAATAAAAAACAGTCCAAAAGATACACACACATACCTAAACCTACAGTGCTTTCTGCCTAGGGGAACCACAAAATACACGTTATTTTAAACGATAATTTTTCATAATAATAACCAATATATAAAGTGAAAAATAAATACTGAAAAAGGTTGAAAGAAAAAATTTGTTGCAGTGATCGAAATCATGCACGGTTTTTATGGTTTACTATATCCAGTGTGGACTGTAAATAAAAATAAATTAAATATACTGTTTATTTCGATCGATTCTCTTCTTTCGCTTTGTTTTGTCACACTGCTTTCGCTTCTGTTTGGGTTTTTGTTTTACCTTCTGGCAAATATTATGCAATTATGCCTGCAACCGTGTATCTGTGAGATACAAGATACAAGACACAATTTTGTAATCGTCAGCGGTAATATTAGCATAACGATAACAGCGAGGAAAACCACAACAAAGCGGAAAACGTGTTTTAACGCGACTCCTTGTGTTTGTTTTTGTTTGCCTTGCATTTGTGTTTATCAGCCGCCCCGCTTTGCTCCCAATCTTCGTCAACGTCTCCTCCTTCATTCTACGCACATTTGTTTACCAACAGAAACAGAAACACAACAAGCAAACGCACACCAAACACACATGGTTGGACGACGCACACGCACACCAAAGACGGATGGACATGTTTTTCCATCATTTTTAAGACGCAATTTGACAATCAACAACACAATGGAAGGGAAAAGAGAAACAAAAAAATATAAACTAAAAAAAACGTGCACTTCACTTTTGGGGGATCGCTTACAGTCAACACTGCCTAATTAGGAAAGCCTAATTAATTATATGCCTCATTTCAAAATTCATTTTGATATTTAAGATATTGTTTATATTCTTATTTTAACAATTACATATATGTCAATAAAATAAAGTAATGCTAAGAAATCATTAAATGTAAATGCCTTATCGCTTCGAAGAGCTGTCTTTATTCTGAAACAGTTCTCAGAATTTTACATCTTGACAGACTTTTGAGCTCTGATTTCTGGTAAATACTCAATAATCTTTTGAATATAGTCTATTTTTATTGTCTTCCCAAGAAATGTAGGTATAATTTTGCATATTTTAGCTTTGCGATGCAAATGACGATGCTTTCTAGAAGACTGTTCGTTTATATTCTCTCAACTCTGGGTTTATTTAGTAGCTAATAAAGCTAGAAATTTTAAAACATATTTGGTTTTAACTGAAGTAAATCATTAAGTTCCTCTTATTTTCTTCTATTTTCCAAAATAATACGTTGTAGTAACTTTATAAACAAATATATATCCACAAAAAAAAACCCCAAACATTTACCAAACCTAAAACACTTTCCAGGGTAGAGGAAAATTCCCTTTTTTCCTGAAGCCATTCAAGAGTTTTTGTGTATAATCAATAAAGTATGACATAATCACTCACCTTCCAGGCATTGACCTTGGGCGGTGGTGCTGCGATGAATCGTTTGGGTGGCGGAGCCGCTCCAGCAGCTCCCTTCTCACCAGCCGCCTGCTGATCCCCATCACCCGACTTGGTCTCGGTGCCGCTGCTTCCTGCTCCCTCGATGCTGGCACTCGGTGAGGTATCCTTGCGATCCTTGTGTACTTTGGCAGCAGCAACAGCTCCAGCTCCAGCTGCAGCAGCTCCACCAGCCGCCGATCCAGCTCCAGCTCCCTGTTTGCGGGGACTGCCACCGCGGGAAGCACGGGGCCTTACTGTCTGCTTGCGTTCGGGGTCCGAGGATCCAGGGGCACGTCTGCCAGCCTGGTGGGATTTCTGACCATCGCCACGGCCTCCGGTCTGCGGCTGATCGCGTGGCTTTTCCTTGCGCGCCTTTTTGCGATCGCGTCGATGGTGGGATAGTACCGGCACAAAGTCATTGTTATCGTCTAGTTCCGAAGAGTTCTCAGCGGTGTTATCTCCTCCAGATGCGGCGGCACGCTTTTCACCTGCAAGGGCCAAGCTGACGCTGCTGGCGATGGATTCCCCGGCTGCCTCAGCGGCTGCGGTCTCCTCGCTCCACGACTTGAAGCTCTTTAGATTTGGCTGGTTTTCTTTGTTATCCACGGAGGCAGAAGCAGAGGTCGAGGCGGTGACGGTGGTGCTGGTCGTATTGGCGGCCTTCTTGGTGTCCAAATTCTGCACCACATTGGCATACGAGGTGGTGGCACTGCCAGAAGCGGTGGCCACGGGAGCTGCGGCTGCGGCTCCACCCGTAGAGGGTGTCTCCTCCTTGCTGGACATGCTCCTCTGTAGCTCAGTGGCTGCTGCTGCTACTCCTTCTGTCTTGGTGTCGGGTTCTTCTCCAGAGTAGGCAGCAGATGTGCTGCTCCTGCTCCGGCTTTCTTCAGCGGCTGATCCTCGTTGTTTGGGGTCGGGAAAACTCTTGGCTGCTTCCGGGCCTTGTCAACGGGATGCGTGTATAATCAATGGGCGATTGAACGGCTTTCGAACTGCAAAAAGGAAAAATTAGTTTGGATTAGATTCTAAGGACAATAAAACCTATCTATAATAGTAAAAATATGATTTTCTTGAACCGTAATTAGGAAGCATTAAAAAAACTTTGTTTCAGTTTTAAATTCATTTTCAGATTTATATAGGCTTTTAACAGGTATTCTCTGTCTGAGTTGTATAAGAATAGGCAATTTGAATAAATATAGATGTTATCTAACATTTTGAAAGTAAGAATATATTTGTAACTGTGCATTACGTACGCGTAAAGCCTAATAATATGTAATTTATGAAAATTAAATGCAATAAAAAATACTTATAAAGTTTTCTTCTTCTAAAAAGCTCTGCTGTAAGGAAACACCTATAAGATCTTTGCTTAGGCAAGCTTGTCTGTATTTTTTATTGCATTTTCTTTGAGAATATGTAGTTTCAGTATAAGCAAGCTTGACTGTATTGGGGTGTTTCTATCTATGACTGTGCGAGCTCGCAATGTTTTTAGTAAGCTATGTATATATTGCGTACTATCTCGACTTTGTCAAGTTCGCAATATTTATTTCATCATTGCAGCTTAATGCAACCTATTACGGCAGAACGAATGCACTCGCATACACACACACACACGTACACTGAACTTTGAACTGGTAAACTTTTTTACTCAATGAAAGCCTGCCGAGGAGTGCGGTGATTTTTTAAGAACTGGCCATGGCTTTGCGTTCGTAAAGAGCCTCTCCCTCGGCAGCGGCCTTTTCCTCGATTTTCCACAGCCACTGACACGCTGCTGCCTCGGCGAATTGGATTTTCTGGCGAAATCTCAAGTTATATATTAGATGTTGTAGAACGGACGGAACGGAGGAGTCCGTTACGGGGCACGACCAATCGAATCGAGATGGAAGCGAGGTATTATATTATTATGCAGCAGCCACACACAAGAAGAAGAAGTGAGGTTAGGGCCTGACCACTCGTATTTTTGCCCCACACAGGAGGAAGAGGAAGAGGCGGAGAGCGAACAAGAAGAAGCAGCTCCACAAAGCAACACAACGCTAGCTGACCAGGGCTAGGTACTTTTTGGGTCTGCCCACTTGCTACGCCAAGCCTTACGTGGCCTTACGTTGCGCTTACGTGAGAGCAATAGAAAGCCGCCTAATTCAAAGGCAATGGCAAAATAAACAACAAAGTCTCCCTCGGCCAACGTTGTTGTTGCTGCTTGTCAGGTAAACAATAAACTCGTTGTTTTCGGTCTTCGGCAAGTATTATGCAATTTGTGCACGACCTGCATTGTTGCTGTGCCGCCCTGGTTTTGAATTATAAACAGCTGATTCGGCCTGCAACTCGGATTTCAAAAAGATGCACGCGGTCACACACACCACGACACAGACACACAACACACCACTGCTAAACTACTAAATACGCACCAGAAACTCCTAGAATTCAAATCAAGTCGGCAACTAGATTTTTGACACGAATTCCGCTGTGTTTTCGTGCGCTCACTTTTCGATATGCTTTTTGCTGTTACACTACGCACTTTGGGCAGCTCCACGCTCGCGTTTGTGTGCGTGCGTGTGTTGTTATTGTTGCTTTACTTTTGCGGGTTTCCTCGCACACACACTTCGCACGCTCGCTCTCTCACTCGCTCTCACTGCCGTTACCGCTGCGTCTCGCTCGCACTCACTCACGCGCTGGACGGGGGAGAACGTTACGATATTATTTTCGCCCGAAATGCGATTCACACACTGTTCGTCGTCAGTCGCGATAATCTGTCAATTGCCGTCGTCGCCGTGCACGTGGATCTTGTCAATTAATCGCAATTAGTCAATTAACTGGTGCATTATACCGCCGAAAAGAAAATCAAAATCTCGGTTACCAGACATGTGGTTCTACGGTCGAAAAGAAAAAGAACAGGGTGGTAGCGCGCTTCCAGGGCGTCGCAGACAGCGGACAGCTGATATCTACGAAAACGTACTCTTCGGCGTCGACGCAAAAACGAGAAATGAGCTGACAGCATCGGAAACAGGGCTGCAAAAAAACAATGAACTAGCTCCAGGGATGGGAAATTTCTTTTATTTCAAATTTCTAACGCAGCGAAAATTATTTAAGAAAGTAGTTTTTAGATTAAAAAATAAGGTGAAATATATAGAAAACATTTATTAATTGAAGATAAATAGTTTTATGGGTTTACATTTATTTAATCTATAATTTATCCAATTTTAAAGGCCGTAAAAATACAGGCTCCTTCCTTATAATTTGAAATAAAAAATCATACCGAAAAAGTAAAGATTATCTAATTCACAGGATATTCTCCTTTCTATGAATTATAAGTGGTTGATTTTTTTATTTAATAGTTTCCCCAATAATTTAAGGTGTTAAAAACACATTCATTTAAAGAAAAGTTTGGGAAATATTTATATTTCAATTGCACATTCACAAATAGTAATTTTTCGACAACACAAATGGGTCAGTAAGGCTACAAAATGCAGGGGTTAATAGATCCGACTTGGGTCGGATTGGGCACAGAGGATAAAATGGAGTAAGGTCGCTTTTTTAAAATCTGTGCAAATACCAAAAGATTTCGACTTAATTCCTAAAGTTTTGGGCTTTCTCAGGCAGATAATAAAATGGAATTCTTGGTGTGGGCAATCCTGGGCGTGTTTTGAAGCCTACTCCACGGTCACGGACTTGGCCAGATTCCTGGGGCAGTCCACGTCGCAGCCTCGAAGCACGGCTATGTGGTACGACAGCAGCTGCAGCGGGATAACCGTGAGCACGCCCTGCAGGCAATCCACGGTCCTGGGTATCTGGAGCGAGCGGGTGGAGAAGGACATGGTCTCGGTGTCGCCTTCCTCGCAGATCAGGATAGGTCTTCCCTTGCGCGACGTCACCTGCTGCAGGGCGTTCATGCATTTGGTATACACAGGATCACGCAGGACGATCATCAGTACGGGCATCTCATCGTCCACCAGGGCCAGGGGTCCGTGTTTAAGTTCGCCGGCCAGTATACCCTCGCTGTGCATATAGGTCAGTTCCTTGACTTTCTGTAAATGCGAGACGAATTTGTAGATTACTTTAGATTGTATTTTTTTTTTCGTTATCAGAAAGTATACGTTTCTTATCACCTTTGACTTTCTTGGAAAAAAATGCTAATCATAGTTTTTGCGGGCATTGAATCTTGGGATTCCTATAAAACTTTTGTGGAAATTGGGTTTTTTTGCTAATAAAATTTTTGCTAAACAAAAAAATAACCTAATTGATTTGTTTACAAAAGTAATTTTCCCAACTAGTTTTTATAATATAGGTGGCTTCAAATCCTTAGACTTAAAATACTAAATTGGCCTTTTGAATTCTTCTAAATAAATTAAATTAGTTAATGTAATTCAAAGTATCAATCCCAGCCACGTCTTCACTTTTAAATTGTTATTAAATCTTTGGAAAAAAACCTTTCTATACGTGAACTTGCTTTAAGAAGACTTCTGTTTAAACAACTGCGCAGATAAGCATGATAAGTAAATGAGAGGCATGAGTCATTTCCACTTTTCTAAGTGATGTGTACTTCATAGACTATCCCTTACCAGCGCTCCCTCCAAACAGGTGGCGAAATTGAAGCCCCTGCCCATGATCAGCAGCGATTTGTGCTGGTACAGCTCCTTGGCCAGCTCCTGGACCTGTGAGTTCAGCTTTAAAACTGTCCTGATGTGCTCGTCCAGCTGGGACAGGCCATCGATGATCTCCAACCGCCGCTGCTGCAGAGACAGACGATCCTCCGACATGACCAAAGCGAACATCACCAGGGATATGAACTGAGAAGTGTAGGCCTTGGTGGAGGCCACACCGATCTCGGGTCCAGCGTTGATGTGCACGCCGCAGTGCGACTCCCGGCAGATGCTGCTGCCCACCGTGTTGGTGATGCCCACAATGAGGGCTCCTCTTTGCTTGCAATACCTGAGGGCCATCAGGGTGTCCGCCGTTTCGCCCGACTGAGAGATGAAGAAGCACACGTCATCCCTGAAGATGGGCGTATTGCGATCGAGAAAGTCCGAGGCCAGCTCGACCATAACGGGGAGTTCGGTGAGCTCCTCCAGCAGTTGCCTGGTGGCCACCGCACTGTGATAGGAGGTGCCGCAGGCAATGAGCATCAGGCGCCTGCAGCGCTTGATCTCTGGGATGTACTCCTTGATGCCGCCGAGGACAACGCTCTGCGCGTCGAACCTCATCCGGCCACGCATGGTGTTCACCACCGACTCTGGCTGCTCGAAGATCTCCTTGAGCATGAAGTAATCGTAGTTGCCCTTCATGATCTGTTGGATCTCCATCTTGAGGGTAATGATCTCCCTGGCATGCGGATCGTCGGAGGACTTGTTCAGCCGATGAATGCTGAGAGTGCCATCCCGCTTGACAGCAGCCACGTCATCGTCCTCCAGGTAGATGACCCTGTTGGTGTGCTCAATTACCGCCGAGGCATCGGAGGCGAAGAAGTACTCGACCTCCTTGTGCTCCAGAGGCTGAAATTCGGCGGAACAATCGCCGGGCGGCAGGACCTGGAAGGCCTGCTGCTGAGGCTGGCCATGTGGCCTATGGGCCTTGGCATACAGGATGGGTATGTGGTCCGTGGCCAGCTTGGTCTTGGCCTTGATGCCCACCAGCAGCGGTGAGCCACGCCGAGAGGCCACGCACTCGCCGGGGAAGTGGCGCGACTTGAAGGCAATGGCGAAGGCGCCCTCCAGCTGCTGGATAGCCTGCTCCACCAGCTCGCCAAAGGTGTAGCCAGGATGCTTCTGCCACAGGTGGTGCACCAGCTTGGCAATCACCTCCGTGTCCGTGTCCGACTCAAACACGTGGCCGCGCTTCTCCAGCAGCGTCTTCACATCCTTGTAGTTCGTGATGATACCGTTGTGCACGACCACGAAGCTGTTCTCCAGGTCGGATCTCTGGGGATGCGAGTTAACCTCGGAGGGCACTCCGTGGGTGGCCCAGCGCGTGTGGGCGATGCCAATGTGGGTGTCGATGGGACGGGAGTAGTCCTCGCCGCGACACACCTCCGCTATGGCGTCCTCGAGAACCTTCACCTTGCCGGTCCGCTTGACCATGACGATGGCGTTGCCCTCCGCAGGATTGGGGTCGTCTATGGCAATGCCCGTGGAGTCGTAGCCACGGTACTCCAGCCGCTTGAGTCCCTGCAGGAGGAGATCGAGCACCTCCTGCCGCGATTTGGGCGTCAGGTAGTTGAGGTATGCAAATATTCCACACATTTTGGAGCTGCCGCTGGCGGTGCCTGCTGTGTTTTTCTTTTCTGGTGATTTTCCACGTCGCCGAACTAACTTTCCGGTCAGCTGAGGCCGAGATTGCGCTGTTGTCGCTGCTGCTGCACTGCGATTGTCGGGCCTTTTATCGCGACAGTCGTCGCTTCGCTGGAATTTCGTCGCTTAGTTTGTTTTTTCTGATAAACTATTTGCTTTACTATTGTGCTTTCCAAAAAAGAACACGTCTTGCCAGTGCTGCCGTTTTGGCTATTTAATAGCCAGTTCTATTCCCCATACAAACCGTGGTAGAAATTCTAAAAGAACTTAAAATTTTGATATATTTAATGTAGAAATGAAATGTAATAGAAATATAAATAATAAATAAAATAAAATAAAATAAGTTTTTATACCCTTTCAGTTTTCAATTGGATCATTAAAAATTTTTCATTAATTTTTATATAATTTCATATTATATAATAATTGGGTTTTTATAAAATTTAAAAAACTTACATACATCTACAGTTTTTCCAAAAATAAAAAAAATTTTGATTTTTCTATACATTTACCAATCGTTCAAATATTATTTATGATTTAAAAAAAATAAAACCCAAAATCTCATATAATACAAAATGGACATACCTGAAAATATATGAAAATATGTTGAAAAAGAGCAAAGTTATAATTGTTTAAAATATTTCCTGATCGTTCCTATGGCGCAGCTATATGATAAAGTCGTCCGATTTTCAAAAAAATCTGAAATAATACAAAATGACCTTATATCGAAGTAGATTAAAATATGTTGAAAAACAGCGGTTATAATGTTAAGTTTCATTCAGATGGCTTCAAAACTGAGGGACAAATTGCATAGAAACGGACAGACGGTCATGACTAGATCTACTCCGCTGTTGATGCTGATCAAGAATATGAAAATGACTGAATAAAAACATACCGATACATGTTCGTGAACGATACGATATTTTGCTTATGCCATTTCTATTACGTTTCCCACCCCTAACTTTGAATCGAGTTGGCATCGCCGACATTGTGCAACGCGAAAACGAAAACGGTGAAAAAATATAAAGATTTTAATTTGCATTTAGGCGTGAATTGCGGCAATAAAAAATGACTGTGAATAAGCGCGATGCGAGCGCAACGCGATCGCGGTGCTTCTTCGACATATCGCTGGGCGGCCTGGCGGTGGGCCGCATCGTTTTCGAGCTGTACGGGGATGTGGCGCCGAAGACGGCAGAGAACTTCCGGGCCCTGTGCACGGGCGAAAAAGGCCTGGGCATTGTTACCGGCAAGAAGCTCCACTACAAGGGCGTCATCTTCCACCGGGTGGTCAAGGATTTCATGGTGCAGGCGGGTGATTTTAGTGCTGGCAACGGGACAGGCGGCGAGTCCATCTATGGCGGCACTTTCGAGGGTGAGTGTGTGTGTGTGGCTGTTAGGGTGTGTGTATGCTGGGGGTCTGTGGTTGCAAATAAAATCAATACAGTGGGTAACGGATAAGATCAACGAATAATAACTGGCGGTACCAATAAAAAATGTTCTTTCTTGTACTCATTTATGAAATTATAAAATATATGAAATATAATCAAATAATTATTTAAAGTATTTTACTTTATATACCCACAAATCCTATTAATAAACGAAGTAAAGTGACATCCCATCTAAAGCCTAATTATAAATATTTGCAGATGAAAGCTTTGAGAAGAAGCACGATCGCCCCTTCCTGCTGTCGATGGCCAACAGGGGCAAGAACACCAATGGTTCGCAGTTCTTTATGTAAGTGCGCCTATTCCTGGGCCTCAAACCGGCAACCGGCGGAGTCCGGACTAACCCCTTCGTAAATTTAGTTTCAGTTCTGTTTCAGGCACCCCAATTAACTATCCGCCTTCTATATTTTATCTATTTAAACGTCTGTTGTTGTTCATTAATCTATTGCCATTTAGCCGTAGCCCGTGGGCAGCAAACCGAGCTTGCGTCCCACAACTGCCCAGTGGACAGATCCTCGTGAATCGACTGATCGACTGACAGGCAGATGCACCAGATGCCCAGTCAACTATCCAACCAACCATCCCAAGGCATTTGGTTTTGTGGGTCGAAAGCCAAGTGAAAGGACGTAGCCCGGCCGGGCTTGATTCCCTATCTCTCTGTCTCTGTGTGTTTCTGCTCCCTGCCTGGTCTTCGGTCCTTGGTCTCTGTCTCTCTGTCGGCTGGTCTTCACCGGATCTGAGTCTGAGGATCTGGATCTCTGTAGCTGCGCATCTGCCAAATGCCAGATGACAGAATGTGACGGTGGTGTTGGTGGCTTGCCAAATCCTGTCTACACCTTCGGTCCTTTTATACTTTGTCTCCACCAACTGCCGCCTCTACTACCACCATCACCACCACAGCAAACATCAGCTGAACCAAACCAACAACATCGATTACAACAACAACAAACAACCAACAACAACCTGCCTAATTGCAAAGCAACAAAAAGTTAGCAAAGTGTAAAGAATATTTTTCTCTTCTTCTGTTTCTCATTGTAGTACAACACAGCCTGCGCCACATTTGGACAAGTAAGTATAGCCATCACAAAAGTACAGGAGTGGAAATGTCTTATTAATAATTGTATGTCTTTCCCTTCCAGTATCCATGTTGTATTCGGTCAAGTTATATCCGGCCAGGAGTTGGTGCGACAATTGGAGGAGCTGCCCATCGATCGGAACTCTCGACCGCTCCAGGATGCGGCCATAGCCAACTGTGGGGAGCTAGTAAAACAGACCAAGGGTATGCAAAGCTAAAACAATCCATGATTTACACTGATTTTATATGTACCCTAAATTAGTTAAAAAAGAGAAAAAGCGCAAGCGACGCTCGGCAGCCACTGATGAGTCCAACAGCGAGGAGAGTGGGGCTGAGGCCAAGGCTGTGCGCAAGGACAAAAAGAAGAAACGCAATCGCAAGGAAACCAAGTCCAGCGATAGTGAAGAGTATGTCGTATTATAATTCAAGTTTAAATAGATTTTAATATGTATTTTATTTATTGTTTAACACTTTTGTTTAGCACTGGAGTTACAGGACGTGGCAATGGTCGCGAGGAACATATTCCGCCAGATGACGATGATGAAGAGCGGGAGGAGGGTGAGCTTCACCCACTGGTCACAATTACAAAGATAGATCCGGACGAGATACCAGAGGTGGGCTTTAAAATTGTATTTTATCTTTTTAAAAAAATATTTAAATATATTAAAAAAATTTAATATATTATTAAAATATTTTATTATATTATAAAATATATTATATTATTTTTACATTTTTTGTAATCCCTTTAAAAAATATTTAAATTCATTATAAATATTATTTTAATTATTTTCCAGGTATCGAACAGATTTCTGATGCGCGACGAGAGGTCTAGGTCCCGGGATCGCGAGGATCGTGGCGGACGGGGACTGGACCGCGATCGAGGCAGGGAGCGGGATCAGGATAGGGAACGGGATCGTGACCGCAATCGCAACAACTTTGGCTGGTCGAAGAGACAGGCCCAGCCCACCTCGCGCAGCGGTCGCATTGTCAAAGGTCGCGGCGTATTTGTAAGTTTAAACACTCTCTTAATTCCTTCTTCAGCTTGGCAAGATAACTAACTTTATAAAAAATGTCCAGCGTTTTCGCACACCCTCACGCAGTCGTTCGAAGAGCACAACGCCACCCCATTGGAAGCATGCCCAGAAGCGCACCATTAAGCTGTCCGATCTGGAGCGCCTTGAGGAGGAGAGCAAGATGCGCGAGGAGGAGGTGAAGCGGCGCGAGAATGAGCGAAAGCGTCGTCACGAGGAGGCCACCAAACAACCGAAAAATGTGGCCTTTTTTGAGACCACCCACGCCAGCAATTATGGCCGCAAACTTACGCCGGATAAATCCTCTCCAGGCCATAAACCCAAGTCGAGGGACACATCAGAGCGCGGCAAGGCCAAGGATAAAGAGAGGGATAATGCCAGCGAGAAACCGAAGGATGGGAGTCCTGTCAAGCGGCGCAAGTCGATGGACATGAATGCCTTGGACTACGAGCAGCAGACTGAGAGCGAATCGGAACCCGAGCGGGAGCAGGAGGTGGTGAAGCCACCCAGCAAGCCACAGAGCAAGGTGGAGGCTGCGGCCAGCAGGGATCGAAATTCCAAGCGTGACGATCGCAAGCCCGACGATAAATCCAGGGCCAAGCACAGTCGCTCCGTGTCCCCAGCTCGTCGCCAGTCCCCTGCACGTCGCCAGCAACGCTCGCCCGCCCGGCGACCTGGCCAGAATCCCAACCCGAATCAGGGACAAGGCCAAAATCAGTTAAATCGCAATCGCCGCAATCCATTTGCAGATCGAGATCGTCGCCGCCGCTCGCGATCACAGGATAATGATTACCGCAATCGTTTCCCCTTGTCTCCAGTTCGAGGAAGGGCCTCTCCCGGCGGGGATCGCCGGCGTCCGCAGCGCTCCCGCAGTCGTGGTCGCAAGCAGGATTCGCCGAGCTCTAAGCGGCAAGAGTCGGCAGGCAGAAAGCGTCAGGAATCGCCAGCCAAGAAGCGGGCGGACTCCAATGACAGAAAGAGGGAGGAGGGAAATCACAGAGATGAGTCTCCCACCAGAAAGCGGAAGAATTCCCCAGTTAAAAAGCGAGAGGATTCACCCAGGGGAAAGCGAGAGGACTCTCATGGCAAGAGAAGACAGCGTTCTCTTAGCAGAAACCGCGACGACTCTCCAAGCAAAAAGCGTCGGAATTCCCCCAGGGGAAAGCGCCAGGATTCTCCTGGCAAAAAACAAGATTCTCCGGACGGAAGGCGTCAGGATTCGCTAGGCAAAAAGCGGCAGGACTCCCCGGATAGAAGGCGTAAGGATTCGCCTGCTAGAAGGCGCCAGGAATCATCTGGCAGGCGTCGACAGAATTCTCCGGGCAGAAGGCGGCACGATTCCCCGGACAACAGACGCAGCCGTAGCCGTGGTCGCCGCCGCAGTTCTTCACGCAGTCGCAGTCCCTCAACGAGTCGCTCCCGCCGTCGCCGCTCACGCAGTCCGGAGCCGAAGCTCACCTCAGCCCTGCCCCTGGATGAGGATCGGGACAAAGCGGCCCGCGAGAAGATGCAAAAGCGGGCCGAGGCTGCACTGCTGCTCAAGGAACACATGCGCAAGGAGATCGAGCGGGAGGAGGAGCGCCGCAAGGAGATTGCCCATGAGGAGGAGCGTCGGGCTGAGAAGCTGCGCGACGATGAGCTGGAGAAGGAGCGCACCACACGGGAGCTCAACGAGCTGGAGCGCTTGAAGGCCGAGACCCTGAAGAAGCTCCAGGACGAGGAGCGGGTAGCCGAGAGTGCATTTGGCGGAGCCGAATCCGACGAGGCAGGCGGAAACGAGGCCAAACCAGAGCCCAGCACTCGGAGCAAGCGCGAGTCAAGTCCGGAGGATCGACATCGCGACAAGAAGCGCAAACATAAGAAATCCAAGAAGACATCAGCGCGTTCCGACACGGATTAATGGGACCTATCCTAGCCAGTAGTAGAGCCACGGACCGTAGCTAATCAGTTTGGGTTCCAGTCACTTTTACACGAAATGGAAATTGTAAAAAATCACGCCACCCAATTCTATGTAATGGAGAGCGTTAAATAAAGACAGACTTCGATATATTCGCTATACTTATGTATCTAGTATCTTTTTAGGCTCCATCTGGTTCGCTCTTTTACTTTATTGTTTTTGGTATTTGTTTTTGCGCCTTCGCTTTCAACTCATTCATAAGCCCGAAGAGCTTTTACTGCCTCTGCCGCTGTCGACGCCGGCGCCGCGGCTGCCATTGAAATTTCGCAAACAAAAACAAAAGTTGCAAAATGGAAGCTCAAAGAAATGGCTCGCAGCTCTGCCTCTGCCAGCGTCGCGGTTACAAGCTTTGGCGAGAACGAATTTTTCTTTCTCTCGCTCTCTCTTTTTACCCGGTTAAGTAAAGCTCTCAAATGTTAACCGACACTTGAAATGTTTTTCTAAAATTATTTAGTTAATCTCATATTTCGTATGTACATAATTACTATCATTAAGGGGGGATTTGGTTAATTCAATGCAAAACGGCCCCCTTTCCAACAATATTTGTGGCGAAACAGCTAAGGTTAGCTTATTCAATTCAATTATATAATATAATAACCCAATAGCTAAACCATTTTGTGTTAAATATCGTATTGATAAATATTTCGAGGTATAGAAGTTATAGGGAATCTCCCAAAACTTAACTCGGATCTTATTTACTAAAGGAAAAAAATAGTTTCCTCAGTGGTCTATTGATGTTTACTCCACACCACTACGAGATCATTATGGAATTTAGTTATTTCATATAAAATGTTGTATGCCTGTTCATAAAGTACGCCCAAATGCCGCATTATCTTATGTGTAGGGGATTGGAAAAGCCGGCCGGTGCGCGTGTGTGTATGTGTATGTGTGTATCTGTGTATATGCTTATTAGCATTTGTGCGGGAGAGCTTTGGTCGCTCTCTCGCTCTCTTTTTACCCGGTAACAGTGTTGTCAGGTGATGAGCGTCCATAAGGCTAGATTTTTGAAAACAAAGCTACAATTAAACAAAAGCTAAAATAAAAAAAAAATTCTAAAAAAAAAATCGAACCAGAACTTAAACTCTACTCAAAAAAATATATTATTTTCTAAAAATCAGCTCTCTTCTTAGCTTTTTCTCCCGTGAATTTGGCTTTTTTTCAGCTGTGTTTTGAGCTTTTTAAGCTTTTTTTGCATCATCACTCGGGCAAACAATTCAAACCATTCGAATTTCGAACAGTGGGTTTGGGTATTCGTTTCAGCACTCAGTTCAGATACAGATACTCAGTCAGGCTCAGTTCGTATTCGTGTTCAGTTGCGAATCGGGATGGTGGATGGTGCGTTGATTTAAAATGGACAAAACTGCGTCTGTCCCGAAAGATTTAATATTTTATACTTAAAATTAAAAAAAAAAACACAACAAATTATTTTTTAAAATCAGCTTTTTCCTTAGATTTTTTGCTTAGAAAAAAGTGACGTCAAGTGTTTGCTCCGCTTGGGTGTTTGCGGGCGCGTTTCTCGAGTAATTTTTGCTTGCCGGCGCTGGCGAGTTTGCGATTCTCTGTGTGTTTGTGTGTGCAACAAACAAAAATTAAAAAATTAAACAAGCTAAACAACAATAATTGCAGCTCCAATATTGAATTGTGCGCGTAATTTATTTACGAATGCGTGTGTGACACAAACACAAACATAAACCGGAAATGCAAAAAAGACAACAAAGGCAGTGGCGGTGAAGGTGAAGTTGGAGGGGCGGTGGAGGCAACAGGAGCCGGTGCAGCCGGAAAGAGAGAAAAAACGGCGGCCAGTAAGAGAGAGCAAAATGAAAATGAAAACGAAAACGAAATGTGATTCATTGGCTTTATCAATTGTGCAAATTCCGGCATTGTTTAGTCCTGTGAAAATAAATTATGACATAATACAACAAAGAGAATAACAAGACGGCGGCAAAGAAGAAGCAGCCGAAAAAGAGACTAAAAGTGCGTGGAGTGCGTGGGAGTGTGTGTGTGTGCGAGAGCCTTTGTGTGCCTTTGTGGGGGTGGCAAAAATACTTAAAAACTGCCGAATTCCAAACAAACAAAGCCAGCCCGAAAGGATAAAGGAATAGAAAACAAAACAAAAGAAAAGAAAAGACAACAAGTACAGTAGTTAAAGCATGAGCCCAAAGAAAAGGCAAAAGCAAAAACCACAGCAAGAGCGTAGCAAAAACAAACAAACAAAAGCAAAAGCTTCGCTGCTGTTGCTTCTTCTTCTGTGTTTTTTCCTCCTTTTTTTTCGTTTATTTTTCGCAAACAAAATGTATATGATGCTGGAGGAAGCAACGAAGCAAGAAGAAACAGACGAAGGAGCAGAGCGAGCATAATAGAAGGTAGAAATTTCGAGGAAATCGAAATTTGCGTCGTTGAAATTCGTTTGTTCTCTTGCTTCCTCTGGCTTCGCCTCCTCCAACTCCCTCCCCCTCCGGTTCGCTCCTGTTCTCCATGCTGAGCGCCTGATTCCTTGCCAGTGTGCTAGTGTGCGTGTGTGTCTGTGTGTCTTGTGCAAAAATTCGCATACAATTTGTTTTATATAACAACAACTACCCCAATATGATTTCCGCTCAGAAGCTCATCGCTTTTTTGCTTATCTCCCAATTTTCGGTTTTATTTTACCAAAACTTTTTCAGCCACAGCTGAAATTTATACATGTCGGTATTTTTTATAAAAAAAAAGTGAAATAAAAAAGTTGTAAACAAAGCGGCCAACTCGCTGGGCTGTAAACAAATAAACGCAACTGTATACAAAACATTCGCCGGCAGCAAAAAAGCGAAGCTTAAAATTCGCCAAGCACTTTTTGCATTTTTCTTTTGATTTATTGAATCTTTTTTTTTCTGTTTTGTTTCTGCTCTCGCAAAGCCAACAAAAAACCAATTGTCATATGTGCACGCAGAGAAAAATATATACTTATACGTATTATTATATGAGTTGGACTTGAGATACAGTATATTTCGGGTACTTTATTAGACTTTATGCAAGTATTTAAGTAATAGCATAATGTTTGGATACTTAACATAACGTATAATATTAAACAATAATGATATTAAAACTTTATTAAAAATTTAAATTTAAAAAAATCGTTGCTTTGTACAGAAAATGTTAGTTAGGGTTAAGAACGTCATCATCAGTCCATTTTCCGCTTGCGTTGCACTAGAATTCCTTAGCATGGAATAATGATGGGAAAGAAGTGACTTCTCTCTCTCTTTTAAAAGTTATTTTTATGGGAAAATATATCTAGATCCTGTATTTTTCCATCTTACAATTCGTTGTCTCAGTGTACAAAAACTTCGTCTGTGCTACGACATTCCGAGCTTTACTTTACTTTGCATTACTTTTTGCACTTTTTTTTTTTTTTGCCAAAGCCTTTGATAGTTGAAAACGCAATAGCAATAGCAACAACAACAACAACATATATAATAGTAATGGCGACGCCGCCGAAATATATTTTAGCATTCATTTATGCGAGTTTTTTTTTTGTGGAGCTTTGGTTTGCCGCGCGAATTCGCGCACTCGAGATAGAAATGTATCTTCGAGATACACGCGCCTTTTGTGGAATTGAAATGTGCCCCGTCGCCTTTTATGTGGCATCATCACCGTCATCAGCATCTCGGCATCAGCATCATCATTATTATTATTACTACTATTATTATTATGGTGATGCGTGCGTAATGGAAACGTCGAGAGAGCAGGAGGAAGCACTGCCTCAAAGAATCTGAGCAGAAGAATCTGCAAATTTATGGCAGCTTAAATCCGAACATACACTCAAAAAGCCTGTACAAATTTAATGCCGATTAAAGGATGAGAGAGGATGTTAAATTAGCGGTGAATGGGGTTGAGATAGGAACAGGCTAAAAGGCTTCTCAGAAGAAGTTATTACTAGGACAGAAATGACACTTTTAATTGTATAAACAATCCTTTATAGGTTTTTTGGGGGACATTCAAAGCAAATTTTATTTAAAATTATTACTTTAAATAATGTTGACAATTTAATTAATAGACAAATGTTTTCTAAAATCATTTTTAAAATTTCCAAAAAAGTATTCTAATAAACCTAAAAACTCTTTGACCTATCTATACCTTATGGAATATTTAAAACTATTCTTAAATTCAAACTTTATAAAAACTATTTTAAATTAATGTTTAGAAACAACATAACTTTAATTTGAAAACAGCCCAGACCCAAGGGGGCAAACTTTGGTTGGCTTTTAGAAAAACTTTCTACAACTTTATAGCTTCTAAAGTGTAATCAAGTAAATCATGGAATATTAAAAACAACTTTAGACCTGAACTTTCCCTTGTAAAACTTTATTTCATTTGATTGGAAGTTCGCACATACTAGTATAGCATCAACGAATAATATTTTATGTAATTTTTCATGATTTTCCAATTTTATGGTCTTATTTTTTTTATGCTGTATTATGAATGTATGTAATTTTATGGTCTAATTCTTATCGAATGTTTTTGAATGTTCTTTTCTTTGTAAAATTGGCAGTTATATAATTTCATCCCCCAAATGGCAGGCTTGACTGTGCCCCACAAACACACACCCCTACCCCAAGCTCCGCCGTGAAAACGCTTTATACTTCCATCAATTTCCCGATTTGAGCGCTGACAACAAATGACATTGGCGCCGGGCCATCGTGTTTAGCGGCATGTTTGTGCGGACTATTAAACAAATTACGTATACGCACTGTTGCTCGCGTAAAATATTTATGCGTGTGCCCAAAATATATTAGCATACTTTTGTGTGTGTGCGCGACTACGGCTGTGTGTGTGGGTGGATGCGTGCGTGGGTGTGTGCATTAGATTAGTAAATAAAATTCGGTGATTTGATTTCTCCCCCATTTCCGTCCATTTCCGAAAGCCAAACATCGCCGTGAGAGAGCAGCAATGGGAAAATGCTCCTGGTAATCGAATTGACTGCCAGTGTGAAGAGTTCGTTAACGTTCCAATAATCGCGACCGGAAAATAAAGAGATATATACCATATAAATATATTTAATTACAATCGCGGTTGGGCCAAAAGAAAGGAGCCCGGCCCCGTTATCGGTGACAAATAACGTTGGATTGCAATGTTTTTGTTTTACAATCGACGCCTCTTTGTGATTCAACTGATTGAGATCCTTCTGCTGCTGCTAACCGACCACAATGGACTGACACTGACCAAGGAGCCGACAACAGGTGAGTTGTGTTCTCCTTTTTGATAGTTTACCTTACAAATGTTAAGCAATGTTGTTATGTTGGCTATTTTTGACTACAAATACCTTAATAGATTGCCATTAAAACTGATGGGTTAATTGCGTTCATAATTTATTGAAGGGTTCTTCTATGGAATATATGTTCTTTTTTAAGTATATGGATATTTAAATTTTCATTTGAAAAAGTTTTTCAAAAGCACCTTTCCGTTTTTAAACATTTTTCTATTGACTGGGCTACTTTTTGGCAACACTGATGCCAAGTGCGAGCTGGAAATCCACCGGGGGCCCGCAAAACTTTAGGCAATAATCATAAACTAATGGCGTAACATGGCAGGCGTGTCCGCATTCCACTCCAAAGGTCTTTCAAGACTCTCAACGGGAAGTACGGCACATAAAAAAAAAACTTGTTGAGTTTCAAGGGGTTGAGATTGGGTAAGGGTGTGGGTGTGGGTGTCAGTCCCGGGTGTTTGTCCCCGGGATTTCCACGGCCAAATCCCATAAAGAAAATCAGCAACATGAAATATTAAAGTTGGTAAAACACGCGAGAAAAGTTTTTCGGTCTTCCGCGGCACGATTCCTGTGAGGATTGTGGCGTCAGGCAGTAGCTGCCAGCCAGGATAACTACCCCTTGCCATGGCTTTGTGAATGTTTTATTTTCGGCAAATGCTCTACGCCTTTTGGGGGTTGCTGTCGCCCCCTGAAACCGCCCCCCCTGGATTCCGGAATTGTCCTCTTGCATGTACCCTGGCTATTGCGAGCTTATTGCGTCGTTGATTTGGCTAAGCGAGGTTATAATTCTAATTTATTGTAAGTGAACAAGTCAAAGGCATGACTTGATGCGCGACGGCGGGTGCCTATCTCATTTTGAGGACTCCACGATGAAAGATTTGGCTTTGAGCCGGCAAATTAGACGACAAATTCAGGACTCACCTGGCGGTATTTGTTTTGTTCCTAGAATTATACCACCCTCATCATCATCCGAAGGCCACCTGCCGTGTTCCCACGTTTTTAATATAGCCATTTCAGGAGCTCACTCGACAAATTCAAATAAAAAATGTAAAGTTTTTCGTTTGATGTTGGGTACAAAAAAAAAAAAAAAAAAACCATATGTGCTGGCCATCACAAATTTTTACAGTTGTCGCTCGTAAACGAAAGCTTTTACTTATTCACATTTTAAAGCAGAATAGAATATTGATTTTTCATGCTATTGATGACGTCGTCCTTTCTTTACATTTCTATATGAATTTATATAAAATACTAAATAATTCAAATTCAAACTGTTGAGATATAAATTATTAACTTTACAGAATGCATTTACCAGTTTGTTTTCTTGTTGAAAATCGGGAAAAAATCCTTGGCTCTTAAATAAATTAAAAACTAAAACAGTTAGTAATCCCTAATAGAAATTTAAATGAAATTAATTGCAGCTCCTGAAGTTGTGCAAAATCTATAAAAATATTAAATCAGATAAAACTTATTTTATTTCCCCAAAAATGTAATTATTACTTATTTTCGCTTGTACCTATTTCTGATAATATTGTCCATTAGAGTGTCCTTATCTTGTAAAATTTTATTTCGAGAAAAATTGTCAAGCGGTTAGCGGAATGCGTTGTAGTTTCACCAATATCCTGAAATCAAATACTTGCAAATGGCGAGCGATTACTGTGAGTTGAAGAGCCACCCGCAGAAAACGATTCCCTGCAACATATTGGATTGCAAGGGACAATCAATCAATCCGAGACACATTCAGCAGCGGTCATCCCTCATTCATCAGGACCTCCTCGCCCAGATCCTCCTCCGGCGTGCCCATGCCAACCCGCCAACCCCCCCACGACCACATACAATCATCAACTATTTATCCCCAATTGCTTGGAAGAATCGCTCCGAGTGCAGGGCATGGGCAAGTTCATGAGGCCCGGGCACCGAAGCAAACCGAATGCGAAAACTTTGCACACATGACGGAGCAGAGGGTGGGTGGGGGGCGGTGCCAGGAAATGGTGAAATTGTGGGCGGGGTCGAGGGGATAAGGGGTGCGCCAGAGGCAAAGGCAAAAGTCCAAGTCAAACGACTAAGCGGCATGTCGTCAATAAATTTTCCATTAAATTCAAAGTAACCCAAAACAAGCAAAAACGAAGCAAAATATAAAAAAAAAGAGAGAAGGAAAACCCAAACGGAGGAAGGTACTCGAAGGAACATGGCGCAGAACACTACATAACTTTTGCCTGTTATGTGTTAGTGTGTGTGAGTGCCTGTGTGTGTGGCCCCGTTTATGTTGCGAATTTCACGAAGTCTTGGTTTGCAAAATCTAAGTTGCTAGCTAAAGAAATACATATATTATAAGTTATATAACTCCTTAGCTCCCTAAAATCACATTAGATTACAAAACTTAATGCAAATATATAGATATACAACATTAATTTGTAGTAAAGCAAACCGAAGAAGGTTTTTACAGAATATTAGGAAATGTATTTTATATAGAAATGCACCCTAAAACAATTTAAAGCTAAGGTTAACCTGAACTGGACCTTAAAAAAAGGTTGTCATATGATATATAATTTCATGAAAAGTACTCCCCATAAACCCAATGCTGGTGTGGGTGTATATTTCCCGGACCTGGAGTATGTGTGTGTTTGTTATTGGTATAGCTTCCTGCTTTCCGCTTGCCTGCCTACTTCGGCAATTGCCTTCAACTCGAGCCTCTTATTCAATTTTCGCTGGCGTGTGGCGCCATCTAGCGCCCACTTCCAACAAAAAACCCCAACAGCAGCAACAACAATAATAACAACAATAGCAACAGCAACAAATGGCAGCAAGCATTGAACGATATTGTTGCCGCCGGCAATACACTGCAGGCTCACCATAAGCTATGGGGCAACCCACAACATCCACGAGACATCAACAACAAAAGCATGAGATGGGAGACGGAGTCTTAACCGTGGAAAATCGAAGAATTATATACTCTTTGGATTACGCTTAACAAACGCTCTCAACGTTTCTACAACATCAAGTTTTCGTTTATCGAATTACCTGTAACCCAAGCAAAAAATTCTAGCAGAAAATGGCTTCAACAACTATGATCTTTTTGGTTTAACCTTTTAGTACTTTAAAATATTATAGCGCTATTAAAATTATAATTTAAAAATGTTAGATTTTAGGGTCATATGTACATATTCCTTAGTTCTTCTTGAGTTTATCTTAACTTTCTTTAATTGAATTCTTGCTTAAGACTACTGAAAATAGTTACTGAAACCAGAGCTCTGATAACCCTAACATATGCATATTCCCAATTTATAAGGTTTATTTTAGTTAGGTCAGCTTGTTGTTGTTCCGTAAAATATTCATTTTCTAAAGATGACAAAAACACCCTTTTTTGTGGCCGGCATATTTATTACGAAAAACCTTTTTATTCCTTGGAGGAGAAAATCCCAATTTTTGGTGAGGGTATAACAACAGCATCAGCAATAAGTTTTCTTTTGCGGATCTTTGCTGCTGCTTTTGTTGTTGTTTTTGTAGTTGTTTTGGGTTGCTGGTTTATTCATATCTTGCCGATATTGTTGTTGCTGTAAGCTGCTGCTGCTGCTGGTGGAAGCAACAACCCAAAAAGCTGCCTCCAAAAGTGCTCCATATTCATATGCAAATAGCAAAAGGCGAGGACCGAGGACCGAGGACCTTTGTTCTTCAGCTGCTGCTGCCTGTTGGGTTGTTGTTCTATAGGTAGTAGTTGTTATTGTTGTTGTTGCCGTTATGGCGGGTGTTTTTGTTGTTCCAGGCTGCTGGCACTATTGTTGTTATTGTTCTGTCGCGTTTGCGTTGGCGTCGACGTTAACGTCGACTGCATAGCTGGCGCCCCTAATGCTTGGATTTCAATTTTCAAGTGCGTCCTGCTGCGGTTTGTTGCTGTTGCTCTACGCTCTGCTATTTGACATCTCAAGCAGCGTTACAACAACAACAACAACTACTACGAATGGCAATAACAGCACACACACCCCCATACCCCTGCCCATTACACTCCCCCCTTCCGCCATGAAAAGAGAGCTTCTGCAAAAACAGTTGAAATAACAACTTGAGGAGTCAACGTTTTGCTAGCCGCAATAGAAAACAGAAAATCGGCTCATCCAGACCACAAATGCAAGCCGTTTCCCCGCTCTTGACTGGATGAGTGCCCCTACTATGGCCCCATGATGATGACGATGGCGTCGGCACTGGCCACGGGTATGAGGATGAGGATGAGAGGATGACGATGAGCCTAAAATGCTTCGGGCGCCGGCTTACAACGAACCACAGTTCTGCGACACAGACAGCCATGGTTAGAAGCGTTATAGCGTGTGTGCTGAAGACTCTGGCGTAGATTCGAGGATTGTAACTGGCGGACTTGTCCTGGATTCTTGTGGCTGCTTCAACTCCGAGCATAATGCCGAAAAATGCTACCAAAAACGAGCTACTAAACTTAAGGACAAGTACAAAATTAGGATCCTTTATCCTTGGACTTGAATGAAATTACTTAAACAAAAGATTATTATTAAGTCAATGTCTTTCTCTGAACGTATTTGTCGGAGATATCCGTTATTTAATTTAACCGTAGTCGAGCCAGCGAGTTCTGTTCGCCTGCGCAGTCAAATCGAATCTGTCATCACGCCACTTTTCCTGTGGCCCTTTCACCTTTTCTTACTTTTCACTCAGATGTCATTCCTAGACAATCTCAAGCTGTCTCTCTCATTCTCTCCTATTGTTGCGACAGACGAACAGACCTCACTCAGTAACACTCCTGTTACCGACTCAACTGTCATTGCGCCTGCGCGCCAGCGACACCTACAGGGCTACCAATACCTGAGCATGCCGAATAACTCTGTTGCCATAGCAACAAGCTTTCCAAATTTGCACTTAGCAACCAACTCGCCGACACGGCCATCCTGACAATTCACGCGTCCTCGCGTGACGTGTCTTCTAATAGCTCTAAACATAACTGTCATTTATCATTCTCTC